CCCTTTGCTTAACCGGTAGACCGAAGTATTGTATCTATCAAATAAGCCGAGACTTTGTTATTACACACAGAGAACACACTGTGATAAATCTGGTATGAACAGAGTTTGCTCTGAACATACCTGGACAATAAGGACAATTCAATTGTATCACTTGTATAAGATATATTTCATCCATTACCATTCAACCCTGCACATTTCTTATGCTGTGTCGGGTAACAACATACGACAGACTCACTCTACGGGTGAGATCCGTATACCCCTATATTCATCCTGGATCATTTACATTTAATACCAACTCATTTATAAAGCTTAGTCCCACTGTCATTCCTATGTGCAGTATCTTTTGTCATTCGGCAACAGCACCGAACTTATCCCGAACTATAGATTTCACCGTGCATCAGTCTTTTAAACACCACTTTCTTTTCCAGCAAATATGAGTTTAAGCCACAGCCACTACTTGGATCCAACCAACTCAACTAACTAACCATCCAGTACAAGTCCTGCGGATAACTGGCCACCCGTAGTACCAGATTATATGGTTCTCTGTTTCGACCCCATGTGAATTGACATCATCAGTTTATAGTCCCGGACAGCGGAGTCGATAAAGCCATGTCCGTCTATCTGTCTGTCTGTCAATTGAAATCAATTTTCTGAAGATCCTAGATATCTTTGGGATCTAAAGGAGATATGAGCAAAAATTCCAGAAAACCTCTGAAAACCCTATCGTGTTTTCAACAGACAGCAGAACCGACATGACTAAATCGTTTTGGAATCTACGGAGTACTGGTGATCGCGGGGGGACAGCGGAGTCGATAAAGCCATGTCTATTGAAATCAATTTTCTGAAGATCCTAGATATCTTTGGGTTCTAAATCCATAAAAAAGGAGATATGAGCATAAATTCCAGAAAACCTCTAAAAACCTTATCGTGTTTTCAGCAGACAGACCGACATGACTAAAATTTAGTTTAAAATATGTATTTATGTAGTATGTACAACAAATCAATGTATGTTGGACAATTGTTATATTTGTCGTTTGTTATCTGAGGGGATATGGTTAGATCGGCTCAAAATTTATTTTCATATAGATACATAGTTTAAAATTAATTATTACAATGCCTTCACTATGAAATTATTTTAAACAAAAAAAAAAAAAAAAAAAAATTATTTTAAGATGGTAATTGTGCCCACAAGAAAACACTTTCAGTTTTTATAATTTCTTATCAGTACAAGACTGCGTTAAAAAATAATAACACAACATATGTATTTACATACATATGGTGTAAAATATTCATAAACCACAAAATGCACTTTATAAAGTGTGGGAATTATAAAAAATGTTGGTGCAAGATTTGACAAAGTCGAATTGTTAACACCTATCATTAAAATAAAACAAGTAAGAAAGTATAGTTGGGCGTGACCGACCATATGATACCCTACAGTTATGATTACTTTGTTTCGATACATTTAAGCAGTTTATGGATGAAAATCTAATTTTCTAAAAGAGGGGGGCTATGGGCAAGTATGGACCAAGCCCGATAACATTTTGTGAATATATTTATGAATTTCATCGCGATATTTGTGTTTATAAGTTAACTAGCTATACCCTGTGTTCTTTGCTACCCTAAAAGCAATATAAATAAAATAAACCTACTTACACATGGGAGATACCACGCAAATTATTGCAAGTTCGCCAATTTTTCCGAACGCTAATAAGAATTTTAATTTAAACTATGAAAAATGTGAATAATATTGTATTTAATATGGGAGGGGCCAATCTCCCCATTGAAAGTCCGCCCATTTTTCTCTAAATTTTCAAATGAATGTCTAAGTTCTTCATGTAAAATTTGAAGATTCTATCTTCTAGAGTATCTCAGATATACAAATTTTTCTATATAATTCTTATGGGGGATCCAAGCCACCCCCTGATGAAAGTCTGCTTTTTCTCAAAATGTTCAGATGAATATGAAAGTCCTTTGTACAATATTTTAGGAATCTAGTTCTATTAGTTTGTTAGCTAAAATAATTTTTTTAACTCATATGAGAGGTGCCGCTCCCCCATTTGGTAGTCCGCCAATTTTTTATCTAAAATATTTACATGGATGCTAAAGTTCTTCGTTTTTTGTATTTAATTAATATGGGAGGTACCTCGCCCCCTGCTGCTTATCCTAAATAATCATATTGAGACTTAGTGGCTCCGACAAAATTTGAGGACTCTAACTGTTATATTTTCTGAGATATTAATATTTACTTAATATGGAAGGTGCCACGCCCACTATAGTCATTCCGCCCATTTTGTCCAAAAATATTCTTATGGATGTCAAAGTTGCCCGTGCAAAATTTGAGGACTCTTATGGTACCAGTTTCCAAGATATACGACTTTTAATAGTTATTTAGTAAGTAGGCGTGGCACCTCGCCCACTTCGAAATAAAAAGTAGGCTATTTTTCCTTCCAGGCATATAGGAACACACTGTGAAAATTCCCAGAAAATCTGTTTAGCAGCTTAGGCGGCTATAGACTTCAAACAAACATACATAATACACATACACACATTAATTTATATATGTATATATAGATTCTGAACATTCAAGTAATTTTCTGAAGGGGGACTTTGTATGGGAGATTTGACCCTATCCCTGAGGCCCAATCTTTATGAAATTTGGCAAGGTCATCAACGCTTATATAAAACTTAGTTGTGCCGCTTTTTATCGATATACAGGTATATTTAACATAATTATGAGCTCAGAAGCACTTTTCGGCGGGTTTTGTTGTATGGGGGCTAGGTGAAATAATGGACCGATTTTAACCATTTTAACCATTGAAAATAGCGACCAGTACCTTACGCACAAGGTTTACATGGACAGCCAGACGGACATAGCTTAATCGACTCAGAAAACGATTCTAAGCCGATTGGTATACGTTAAGGTGGGTTGGGTTAAGGCCCAAACTTAATATATTCATTACTTTACAATCAAGTACTAAATACTTTAATCTACTGAATAATTTTAGTATAAATTGCAATGCAAATACAGTACAAACTCTTAATATCTTCAACTTATATAGTATATCAAAACTTTATATTATTTGATATCTTATCATTTTGCTACAATGGCCAACAAACATGATCTTTTATTGCAGTTCGAACGTCCTACTGTACCCAAGTTCGAACGGTATTTGTACCCAAGAGAAAAGATCCTACAATATTTGATTTGCCACATAACTTCCTAACCGAACGTTATCGTCCTTTGGTATATGAAATTGAAAATATTTTCGGTGAATATGCCGATAAACGTATACCCGTGCGAGATATTTTATTACCCGATCTACATGTACCCTTAACATTGGATCGACGTGAACAATTTTCCTTGTCTATACCACGGCATAGACGTATCGCCAGCTATTTTATTGATATTTTCATGATTGCTAAGTCACTAGATGATTTACAAAGTATAGCTGTGTATGCTCGTGATCGTGTAAATTCCTATTTGTTTAATTATGCTCTCTCTGTGGCATTACTAAATCGTGAAGATACCAGGGGTTTAGATTTATTTACTTCATTGGCTCAAGTTTTTCCCAATAAATTCGTAGATGCCGATGCATTTCAGCTGCTAAGTGAGAAAGTATCTATTGTTCCCAAGGGTTCACGCATGCCAATTATGGTACCCAATAATAACACATTTTCCAAATTGGAATCGGAACATAGTTTATGGTATTTTCGTGAAGATTTGGGCATCAATTTACTTTACTGGCATTGGCATTGGCATTTGGTATGTCCCTTAGAGGCTAATGATCACAGTATGGTGATTAAGGATCACAGGTGTGAACTATTTTACTACCGGAATCACCAGATCATTGCTCGTCATAATATTGAACGTTTTTTTAATATTTTAAAGAGAGTCGAAAGTTTAAGTGATTTTCGAGCACCCATTGCTAAAGGTTACTTTTCTAAAATGGCTTATTTATCGGCCGGACGATCTTTCCCCTCACGCTGCGATAATACCACCATTGTTAATGTTAATCGTTAGCAGGAGATGCTAAGAGTCTCTATTGGCGACTTGGAATTAAGCCGTGATCGCTTATATAAAGCCATTAAACAGGGTTTTGCTGTTGATGTTAACGGCAAGCACATTTATTTAGATGAACAACATGGTATTGATATCTTTGGTAACATGGTGGAATATTCTATATTATCGCCCAATCGTTCTTATTACAATGGAATCCATAATATTTCTCATTTACTTATTTCGTTTTGCCATGATCCCGAAAACGTTCACCTAGAATCGTATAGTGTTATGGGAGATTCAGACACAGCCATGCGACACAAAATACTTTTATCACTCTATAGTCCAGCAGAATTGGAATATGAAGACATAATGGTAACGAATGTCCAAGTGACGGAAGAAGAGGGAAAATCTAATGTTTTATCAACATTTTGGCAACAATCCGATGTAGATTTCTTTCGTGGCATGGACTTCATGCCCAGGGGTAGTATATTTGCATGTTTTATCCATTTGCAACATGGTAGCTTCACCTACACTATACATGCTAATAATAAAGACAGTTCAAGGTTAAACAGCAATTTGGAGGTAATTGTACAGATGCCTCTCCTAATTGTGATATACAAGATCATCTCTATCCAGATCGTCGTGCTATGGGTTTTCCTTTTGATCGTTTGCCTCCCAAACATGTTGATAATTTGAAAAAAATTATATTATCCATATGTTTGTAAGCAAAGTGGTTATATGTCATGAGGAGCGTATTGTTTTGAGACCAGTTCAGTAAATCTATATTTCCCTCTCTTGATTACTCACTAATTAGTTTTTCTACTAAAATCTTTGTTTTAAAAAAGTTTTTTTTTTTTTTTTTCTAAATACTATTATTATTATTATTTTTTTTTGTTTATTTTTAAATCTTCTGATAAGCTATGGAGCCACACTCAGATATGTATGTGTTGTCTTTATCAGTTTCACTTTTCTTAGATTGTATTTACTTTCCTTGATTGCTAGAGATCAGTCTGCTGTTGAATCTCAAAGCTTAAACATCTATTGAATTAAATTTTAAAGCGGTTTTTAAAAAAGTTTTAAATCAAAACAATGAAGCTTTTACAAGCTTTGCTTGTTGCTGTGATCTGTGCGGTAAGCTTGACATATTTATAGAGAGTATATTTCATAGATAAATCGCTTTGATCTCTGAACTTTAGTTTAAGTGTGCAAAATTGGGTTTTCCACTTTCAGATCTCTTTAGCTGCCCCCAATAACGAAACAGATGCTAGAAATTTTGTCACCAAAGCCAGTGAACGTTATTATAATCTTTATAATAAAATAGCAGCTGAAACCTACTCCTCCATAGATGATGAAGACTTTGAGGAAATTTTCAAAAAATTAAATAATGTCAAGACTATTTCCCAAGAATTGGTGGAGATTTCTCAAGATGCTGCCGAATTTGATTTGAACAAAATAAAAGATCCTCAACTTAAAAGAGCTTTAAAGAAGCTGCGCAAAGTTGGAAATCTGTTTGTTTTGGGAGAAGATTATTTTTCATCTTTCCTATTGAATTTGAACTCATTGAAAAGTCTATCGACTGATAAGGATATAGAACCTTATTTGGGTGGTATTAATATGCCAGATCAAGATGACAGCCCCATAGCTTACTATCCCGATATACAAAAGATCTATGAGACTAGCAATGATGCAAGTGAGCTGAAATACTATTGGGAGACCTGGAGAGAAAGAAATTCTATATGGGCTTCCGTCAACTTCTATACAACAATAGAAGGCATACAAAAAGCTGCCGAAATTTCAGGTGAGATATAATAACCGAAAAGTTAAAAACAAGACAAGTTTTTGTATTCAAAATCTTTCTGCTTTACTTTTTTTAGAACAACCTGTCTTGGAACTATATTATAGTCAATATGAAAACAAAGACTTTTTGAAAGTGATGCAAAAAGTTATGGATGAAATAATGCCGGCCTATAAACAATTACATGCCTTTATACGCCATGAATTGCATAAGAAATATGGCAGCGATGTTATAGATCCTAATGGTCCCATACCAGATCATTTGTTTGAACAGGTGCTATCACAAGTCTGGAAGGAAGGCAGTGTTATTGAATCCTATTTCCCCTTCAAAGAGTTGCCTCCCTATGATGGCTTTGTCAAGAATTACGATGCCAAAAAAGTTCTACAAGAAGCTCAACAGTTCTATAAATCATTAGGCTTCCCCGATCTTGATGAAACATTTGTTAAAGATCAACTCAAGGAACATGATGAATCGACAAACATAGGCGATTGTCGTGCTGATATTTTCGATTTAACTCCTAAGGTTTATATGAAATATTGTCCTAAAGTGGACTTTAGGAAATTCATGCAAATGCATGGCTATATGAGTCGCATACACTATGCCCAGGCAAAGAAAGATTTACCAGCCTATTTCTTTAACTCATACGATTTGGAATATCCCGTAGGTGAAGCTGTTATATTATCAGCTTGTACACCCAAACATTTGCAAGCTATAGGTGTAGCCAAGGATTTCACTTTTAGTGATAAAACTCTTATGAATCGTCTTTTCCGCATGGGTATTCACACCATATTGAATGTTCCTTTGTTCTTTGTCCATAGCAAAGTTGTACATGATTTATTGAATAATACTATCGATATGGATGGAGCTAATAAACATTATTGGAAATTAATGCAAACCTATGTGGGCACTGAACCTCCCTCAGATCGTGAAGAAGGTTCTATAGATTTCCCCTATAAATTCTATTTGGATTTGGAGCAAAATTATCAGACCAAGTAAGTTATATTATTTAACATTTCATACGACATTAAACTTAATTATTTCTTTATTTAAAAAAAAGGAAATTCGTCTCTGAAATATTGGGTTATCAATTTTATAGAGCTTTCTGCCAGAAAGCGGGTCAAACAGGTCAATTGCATAATTGCGATTTCTACAACAACAAGGCGGTGGGCGATGATTTAAAGTAAGTTCTCTGTATAAATGCAAATATGGAACATTTTTTAATCATTTTTGTTTTTGTTTCACAGATCGATGATGTCATTAGGTTCTACAAAATCATGGCATGATGTTATTGCTAAAGTTTTGGATAAACCAGATATAAGTGGTGATGCTTTATTGCAATATTATGCACCGATGTTTGATTGGGTTAAAGGTTTGAATAAGCAAAATAAAGTTAAAATCGGCTGGAATGATAGTAAAAAGAGTAAGTGTTAAAGGAAAATAACAAATAATAGATAATAATGTTACTTTATATACATTTTTAGAGGTTCTTTAGATGATGTCTAGATATGGTCTGGAAATCTATATATTTAAAATTTTAATAATTTTGTTAACAAAGATGATTTGCAAACAAATAAAATTAAAATTGTAAACCTTATATTGTTTTATTTATTATACTAGCTATACAAAGTGTGCTTCGCTACCCTCAAAAAGCAATATATCGAGGGACTATATTCAATAGTCGCTATCTCTCATTTTTATGAAAATGAGATTTTGATGGCAAAATATTCAGCAAACTATCGAGCATCAGTGATATAAATTTCAAAGAAAAAAAAATATTTTTTGGCAATTTTATAGCATTTTTTAAATTTCTCTATCTTAAAAAAAGAAAAATTCTGAATGCAAAACTCTCTATCTTATCCAAAAATTGCTTCAAACTCGATCCCTTTGGATAATTTTCTGTTGCAAAACAAGTCTTCTTAATAATTTGGACATGCTGAACACAAATCCGTCAAAATATTTAAAATCGGTCTAATAGTTTTTGAGATATCGCTCATTATGATACTAATTAAATCAATTTTATTGTCGTGTTTAACCATATAACATTGATTTTGGACCAAAACATTATAATCTGTTGCTTTTTCAACAATTTGGTTTCTTTTCCTCCATTAAATTGTATAAAATATAATATTTATTGATTTTAATTCAAATAAAAATTTTATGTTTCCATGAAAAACTCTCTATCTGTTGGTTGAATGAACATTTTCGTAGAAAAATAAGCTCTATCTGATATAAATTTGTGAATAATTTTGTAAATAATGCAAAAATTAAAATTCTTTTTATATAATGGTTTAGAATATGGTCGTAAAAATATATTGTAAAAGAAAAAATTAAAAAATCTTCACGAACTGCGAAATAAACAGTTTTTTTGCTCTCCTGAAAACTTGTATTATTTTAGATAGAGACTATTGAATATAGTCCCTCGATATGTAAATAAAAAAACCACTTTAAAGATTTTGAAGATTCTAGCTGCAATAGTTTTCAATATATGTACAACTTGTTAAATATGAGAGATGCCACGCAAATTATTGCAAGTTCGCCAATTTTTCCGAACCTTAATTAAGATTTTACTGTAATCTATGAAAAATTTGAATAATCTAATAGTTTCCCATATAAGCAGGTAAATTTTTTCGAAGATACGTGTTTGTGTTTGTGTGTTGAACAGTGTCGCCAGATGTGGGGATTTGTCCCCAAACTGGGGATTTCATGTTTTATTGGGGGATAGATTAAAGTCTTGTCTATAGTCTAGTCTATAGTCTAGTCTATAGTCTAGTCTATAGTCTAGTCTATAGTCTAGTCTATAGTCTAGTCTATAGTCTAGTCTATAGTCTAGTCTATAGTCTAGTCTATAGTCTAGTCTATAGTCTAGTCTATAGTCTAGTCTATAGTCTAGTCTATAGTCTAGTCTATAGTCTAGTCTATAGTCTAGTCTATAGTCTAGTCTATAGTCTAGTCTATAGTCTAGTCTATAGTCTAGTCTATAGTCTAGTCTATAGTCTAGTCTATAGTCTAGTCTATAGTCTAGTCTATAGTCTAGTCTATAGTCTAGTCTATAGTCTAGTCTATAGTCTAGTCTATAGTCTAGTCTATAGTCTAGTCTATAGTCTAGTCTATAGTCTAGTCTATAGTCTAGTCTATAGTCTAGTCTATAGTCTAGTCTATAGTCTAGTCTATAGTCTAGTCTATAGTCTAGTCTATAGTCTAGTCTATAGTCTAGTCTATAGTCTAGTCTATAGTCTAGTCTATAGTCTAGTCTATTAGTCTAGTCTATAGTCTAGTCTATAGTCTAGTCTATAGTCTAGTCTATAGTCTAGTCTAGAGTCTAGTCTATAGTCTAGTCTATAGTCTAGTCTAATAGTCTAGTCTATAGTCTAGTCTAGTCTAGTCTATAGTCTAGTCTATAGTCTAGTCTATAGTCTAGTCTATAGTCTAGTCTATAGTCTAGTCTATAGTCTAGTCTATAGTCCTAGTCTATAGTCTAGTCTATAGTCTAGTCTATAGTCTAGTCTATAGTCTAGTCTATAGGTCTAGTCTATAGTCTAGTCTATAGTCTAGTCTATAGTCTAGTCTATAGTCTAGTCTATAAGTCCTAGTCTAGTAGTCTAGTCTAGTCTATAGTCTAGTCTATAGTCTGTCTATAGTCTAGTCTATAGTCTAGTCTATAGTCTAGTCTATAGTCTAGTCTATAGTCTAGTCATAGTCTAGTCTATAGTCTAGTCTATAGTCTAGTCTATAGTCTAGTCTATAGTCTAGTCTATAGTCTCTAGTCTATAGTCTAGTCTATAGTCTAGTCTATAGTCTAGTCTATAGTTAGTCTATAGTCTAGTCTATAGTCTAGTCTATAGTTCTAGTCTATAGTCTAGTCTATAGGTCTAGTCTATAGTCTAGTCTATAGTCTAGTCTATAGTCTAGTCTATAGTCTAGTCTAGTCTATAGTCTAGTCTAGTCTATAGTCTAGTCTATAGTTAGTCTAGTCTATAGTCTAGTTATAGTCTAGTCTATAGTCTAGTCTATAGTAGCCGATAATCTATAGTCTAGTATAGTCTAGTCTATAGTCTAGTCTATAGTCTAGTCTAGTCTATTAGTCTAGCCTATAGTCTAGTCTATAGTCTAGTCTATAGTCTAGTCTATAGTCTAGTCTATAGTCTAGTCTATAGTCTAGTCTATAGTTAGTCTATAGTCTAGTCTATAGTCTAGTCTATAGTCTACTCTATAGTCAAGTCTATAGTCTAGTCTATAGTCTGGTCTACAGTCTACAGATTGAAAAAAATATACATATGTATGTATGAATTTGTGTGTTTAACGCAGCGTTGACTTTTGTAGTATACACTGTATTATCGAAGCTTAAATACTTAAGATACCGTATTATCATTGGGGTTTGTGCCCGGAATATTTCGTACATTTATCATGTGCACAAACCTTAATTTCTATATAAGCGCTCCATGCGGCGAGTAGTGACATTACATTTACAAATGTAAAATTTCATAACAGTCAGGGATGTAAAATGTACTTAGTTTTACAAATTGAGGAATATTTTTGTATCCACCTTAAAGCAAACATTTCAAACTATGCGTATTACATTGCTAAATGCGGGAAATATAAAAATTAAACTTTTAGCAAGTAGAGTGTTATATTCGGATATGCCGAATCCAATATAGACACCATCAAATCGTATCAGCAGGGTGATATTTGGAATAAGGCTTACTTAAATTTTATATGTATATTAAAAAAACAAGTTCTTTGTAAGAAGTGTTATATGGTGGTTCGGTTCAATTATGGACTAATCGCCATAATATTTGGTAGGTAGATTTCAGTTCGTATAAAACTTATTTGGTTTTCAATTTTCATCGAATTTTAAGTTCCGTCATGAATGCAAAACTAATTTTCTGAAAGAGATCTTTTGTGGATGAATTATAGACCGATGTTCATAAAATATTGTACACAGATTTTACTTTGTACAGAACTTGTTTATGTTGAATTTCATCGCTATACTCGTGCTTTTGAATAAGGAATATTCGTATGAATAAGGAAAATACTTTCCTGAAAGTGACCTTATGTTACCGATCCATCCCCATGTAATTCAGTAGAATGACTTACGTTCCTATAAAAGTTGGAACGAATTTCATAACTGTACTCGTTGTTGTAAGCTTGTAGCTGTGAATCCTTCGATAGCCCTGGCGATACGCATTGACATCGAAATCGTCTTATATAACGTGCACACTGCTTAGATCAGTTTTATGTTGATCGGGGGCTCCGTAAGTGGATCAACTACATGCTAAGGAACAGATGGATAAGCTGCGAGATATACGAAATAACTATCAGGAGAAGGGTATTTTGCTTTACACCATAGGGTTTCATTTTGTCCCCTTTACTCTGCGTAACCACAATAACCGAGAAAGGACATAGACCTGTCTGCTATGCAGACGATGTCGTAATACTTCTAAGGGGAAAGGATCCAAATTAGTTGTGAAGAATGGCTGAAGAGGTTCTGAAAACGGTCTTCAGCGGTCTTGAAAACGGTCATGCGAAGAAGGAAATCTGGGCGATATTTGGGAGAACTGTAGGCATGAAATGGTGTCTTAATCCTACTATGACACATTGGCTTTATAAAAGTGTAATTAGACCAATTTTAGCTTATGCTTCAATAATCTGGTGGACTTATTTTCACAAAAAGTGTAGTGCCATGAGTACTACGTCAACTAAGGCTCTGGAAACGTTGCTGGATATTCGGGGGTGACCCTAACGAAAGCAGGTTGAAAAGCCTCCTCAAAATTAGGAAGTCTGTGGTTAGTACGATGCTACGTATTCTGAGTGGATACACAGTTATATGGGCACAGCTATACACAATTAGACGAGCGGATTCAGGCGAATGTAGAGCATGTAGAGCGATCAGTGAAACTATAGAACACTTTCTTTGCTATTTTCAGGCTTTCTTCTATCTTGGTAGTGATATTATTCCCGATATAACATCCTCTCGCGAACACTGATTGGAAAATTCTAGAGATTACGTCCAGGAAACTGAGTTTCTGAACATCGGACGATAATACAATTAGTGCATACTATATAGGGTTATTGTTATTAAAAACAAACATTTTCCATTGAAAGGCCTGAGGTTCATTTCTTCGGATTTGATTTAGATACATCCTCACTTCAACCTAACCTAAATAATTATACCCTACACCACTTTAGTTGGGAGGATATTTTGGGTTTGTGCTGATGTTGGTAACGAACAATAATATTGGTCCTATACCCGCCTTAAAGTATACCAATCGGCTTAGAATCATTTTCTGAGTCGATTTAGCTATGTCCGTCCGTCTGTCCGTCAATGTAAACCTTGTAATCAAACTACAGGTCGTAATCTTGACGATAATTCAATGAAAATAATAATAATAATAATAATGAAATGATCTTCTATTGTTCCATCGGTCCATGATTTCACCTTGGCCCCATACAACTGAACCCGACGACTAGGGCTTTCAAGTTCATAATTATGTTTAATATAATCGTATCGCGATAAAAAGCTGCAAAAGCAAGTTCTAGCCATTATGACTCTCACGAATTTTATAAATATAGGGTCTCATTTGACCATAGCCCCTA